TGATGCTTACTTAACAGTTATAAAATGTAAAACTACTTGAGTATTACAACAGAATGAAATGATAATAAAATTAAAGACAAAGTAGTTGAAATTAATAATTCTTCAAAGTCAGTGATCGATTTTGCACTCTATGGCTATTATAAACAGGACCCCACTTCTAAATTGATAACTAATCAATATTTTTTTATTTTGACAAATGTAGCAGCCTAAGGAAGATCTAAAGAATGTTAATCTACAAAAATTATTTAAAAAGAAATTTTTTCCTGTTTTTAATGAGTGGACCAGTTTATTTAAGTAGTGCCATATTTTTATTAGAAGAGAAATCATGTCTCAAATCAACCAATATCCTATAATAGTTGTTACATTTTTATATGTTTCATATACTAAATGTAGCAACAAAACAAAGCATAAAATTAGAAAATATCTACAGCAAAATTTAAGATTGAAATATTTTCACTTATTCTAAAGAATACAGCTTATTTTTTTTTTATTTTAATCTGGAGACTGGATTTGGATATTTTTATTTTATTTTATTTTTTTTTTTTACTAAATTTTTAACAACTATATTAATACTCCAGTTGTAGATAAAGACATATCAGCAATGCTTAACCTTCGTGCCCACAAAAATAAAAAAAATGCAGTGTCAAAAGGACAGTTATTCCCTTAACACAACAATTACTGTATGCACTTTTGACTTGCTCGGCAATGTCTATTTACAAGATTATAAAAATATGTGAACCAAGTACAATGCAATATTTATTATTTACCATTTTATAAAGAAATAAATTTGCAAAGGAATTTTTTTCTTCAAAAATGTATAAATAATTACAAAATTATCAAAATATGTAAGAGATGCTCTCAACCTATTTTAGCGAAATTTACAATTACCCATCATTCTGTGTTTATTTAAATTTTCTTGTTCGCAGGCATTTTTATAAATTAAGGAATAAAAATTTTTTTTCACATTATTTTTATAAAATATTAAATAATAAATATTTAATTATAGTTTTATAATCTTGTAGATAAATTCTAATAAATAAATAAATAGTGCTTAAAAATATCTTTGACATCAATTCTCAAGAATAAAGAAATTTTTAAATCCACTTTCATATGTTTGGGTTTTATTACAATTCTAATAATCACTTTTTAAAAAATAAATATCAATGGGAGTCAAAAGTATATACACTAATAGCGGTGTCAAGGGAATAACCATCCTTTTTAACAGACCATTTTTTGCAGGCACAAAGGTTAAACATTGCCAGATTATTTTATATAAAATATTCCTGGTCTAATCAAAAGTTTAATGAAAATTAAACCAAAAATTAAATTCAAATATTTTTTTTCTACACTTTCAGAAAATAACATCAGTTGTTTGTTTATCTTAAAAAAGAAAATTTCATAGAAATTGAAGCATATCTGTTGAGTTTTTTTCAAAGGTTAATAAATAACTTATTCCCAATATAATTTAGATATGAAAAAGATACAATAATCTATTTTTGGTTTTATTTTTTGGCATGATACGAGCAAACTGTTTTTTTGGGGTTTTTTTCAAATAAAATTTGTAATCAAATAAAATTAATAGTTGACTAATAAGCATAATAAAGTTATGCCAGAAAAGTTGAAGGTCAGTTTCCTCTGCTTCAGGAACAAGGAAAAAATATGTAAAGCCTTTTCTACATCAATAACACTTTCAATGTATTTTACAAAGAAAACTGAAAGTGCCTTTATTCAAACAAATTAAATGATAAAAAAAGAAAAAGAAAGGCACCACATTTAATACAAACTCACTCTCTCTCTTATATATATATATATATATATATATATATATGTGTGTGTGTGTGTGTGTGTGTGTGTGTGTGTGTACGTCCAAAGAAAAACAATACGTAAGGTTTAAAATGCATTTTTGAAACATAAAAAAATCTTTCTTGAAACTTTTATTTTTTAGTTTTAATTTCAAGATAATAGATTAAATTTTACATTTCCAATAAGCAAAATACTTTGGTGTATTTCAAACTGAATTTACATGGATTGGAATGATTATTTTAATGCTAAAATCATTCATATTGACAAATCTATCAACACAACAGAATTCTCTTTATTAAAAAATATTTAAAAAATAAAGTATACTTTTCTTAAACTTTGAGGAAGATTAGCTGATTTAAAGTTTAATTAATCTAATTTGAAACAAAAATTACTTTTAGTTTAAAATATCACAGAAAAACATTGGTTTTTTAACACGGCGGTGGGTCTTTTTATGAAGTGTTGACAACTTTCTCAATAGACTTATGTTTGGGAATTTTTTCTAAGGGAGACATAACCGTAACAATTGCTTGACAAATATATTGTGAACACCTTTTTTTCTTTCCTTTTAAAAGTCTCCACCTAAAATAGACTAATTCAACATCAAAAAAAAAAAAAAATCAAAAGAACTTACTATAAGTTTGATAGGCATTTTCTATCTGTATTATTTTATATATATATATATATATATATATATATATATATAAATGTATGTGTGTGTGTGTGTGTGTGTGTGTGTCGAGGCAGCAATACTTCATTAAGAGATATTTGATTAAAGACAATGGTAAAAGACTTCAGTTTTTTTGTTTTTTTTTCAGAGTGAGCAATAATTGAGTAGTACTAAAAATAAAGAACTAGACAAGATATCCCTAAACATGGGCAGTGGAACAAGAAGTCTATCCCCATAGATTAAATAAAGGGTTCAGTTTGGAATTCCCTGTAGGTTATCTGGATTAATATATACCTGATAAAGGCTGGAGGGCACAGCAGCTTAAATGTTGTAAAAACAACAACAGCAAAGGTGAGGACAATAGTCCACATGTACATAGTGTAAATAAAGCATTCATTTGCTAAATGTTTTTAAAGTCTTTTTGCTAATTTGTTTATTTTCAAGAAAGCCCAAATCTGTATACAAGAGATGCACATATTGTCTATAACAGTTGTCTCTAAAAGGCCCCATATATGTTATTTAGCAAGCTTAGAGGCCTTGCTATTTAGTAACAGAATGGTAGCAGTGGCAATAGTGTTAAAATTATAAGGATAATTTTTAATATTCTGCAAAAATATAAAAATAGACATTCATCACTGTATATATAGATGTTTATTTGTAATTTTTGTGAGCCTTAGGGGTAAGGAAACTAACACAGGTTTTTTAGCTATTGCTGGTCTAAGAGACAATATGGTAATTATCTGCTGCCTAATACTAAATCTGAAATTCTCCTCTAAGACAACATATGTCCTCTATATCATTTTTTGAGTTTGTTTCAAATTGTTATTATTTCTGTTTGCAAAGTGTTTTCCTTCTTTGTTTATTTCTTTGTATTTTGTTTGTCCATTCCCCTTTTGAGAGATATATTTGTTAAGTGTTTCTAGTTCTCAAGGTGTATATCCTAAATAAAAGAACAACATCAGTATGAAACGAGAACATGTTTTTCATTCAGTTACATAGTAAAAATATCATTAGCTTTTCAAAATGTTTAAATTTAAGAATACTCATAAATATACTTCAAGCTTAACTGAAAGTCAAAGTAAATTATGGAGGATGTTAAGTGATATAATTTAATAAACAATGGTGTTATTGTTATTGAATTTTTTTATCATAATGTAATTATTATTTATATTGTTTCAGTTTGAGATTAATTTATATATTCTTTTAAATAACAAAAACTTTTGAATTTATCTGTTTATTTTTAATTTTTAAAAATTTTTTACAGTTATGTTGGCTTGGGAAAGGAGTATTTCTTTTAGAAAATCAGATATTTAATATATATTATATATATATTATATTAATTATATGCAGGGTGCAATGAGTAAATTGTCACCACTTTATATCTTTAATTCTGTGCATGCGCAATGTTTGTTTTTGATTTTATCAACTGGTTCAGTTGGGCACCATCTGTGAGAAAAAGAGCACCATGATGCAATTCACTCTGCCAGAAATTTGGAAACGGCATGCTGTACTGCTTGGCATTCATGCCGGAAGCTCCAATACAAATATTTCAAAGTGTTTGTGTGTCAATCTGAGGACAGTGCAGAGGATACAGAAAGAGTTGGAGGTGTCTAATTGTGATTACAAAGGAGTTTGGAGTGACACTAGTGGTAGAGACGTTCTGCCTCAATTCATCTTCCCAAAGGGTCTCAAACTCAACTCAGAGGCCTACATCAAGTGCCTTAAGGAGGTAGTGCTGCCCTGAGTCGGGAAGATAGCTACTGGAAGACCCTATGTCTGGCAACAGGATTCTGCACCATGCCACAAAAGCAGCAGAACTCAGTCATAGCTGTCAGATAATTTCTGCAACTGCATCACCCCTTACAGCTTGCCACCTAACCACCTTGATTATTATGTGTGGGGTGCAGCTGATCGAGAGACCAACAAAACTCCTTGTAATACCAAAGATGAACTGAAGGCAAGGATTATGGCAGCATTCACCAACTAAAATAAAGAGAGACCACCCAGAAGATTGCAGAAGTTGTCCAGAGCCCATTATTGAAGCCAATGGAGATTTTATGAATAAATTTACTCCTTAATATTTAAAGATATTTTTGTGTAATTTTGGTAAATATATCTGTTAAAATGAGATATCAGTATAGATAATACCGATATCTCATTTTTTTAATAATTTAGACGACAATTTATCCATCGCACCCTGTATATAATATTTATATAATATATATATATTATAAATATTATTTATACAATATGTATATTATATATATTATATGTTAGCACAATCATTATATTCATCCAGTTTTGTACTGAAAAATAAAAATATAATTAATGAAATACAAAACTGATAAAGAAAACATTACTTACCATATGAAAATGAAAAGTTTTCATCAAACAGCTTGAATTTTATTAAATAAATGATTTTTTTTTGTTTCTACACCAAGAAGCTGTGTGAATGAAAAACATGTGAAATGTTTGTATTCTTTTCATTGATTTAGAATTTTATTTTTTACTAAGTGTTACAATGCAATGGTCAACAGTGGTCAACGATAGAGTAATAAACAGAGTGAGTTGAGAATGGAGATCTATATCTACAGACGGTGAGCTTTAGAAGAATCAAAACACTTACCTGCCAATATTTTGAACACACAATCAGAACAGTTCTCTGGTTATATGGACAGCATCGGAGTGTCTGAGCATTCAAGCAACGGATTTGTTTAGATTCGTCTTCATAGATAGGTTTGTACTATTAAAAATTAATAAAAATAAACAGATAAATTTATTTTTAATGCCATGGAGATATAGTTGAAATCTTTTATAAAAGTTATAAATATTTTTATATTAAAGTTCTAAGTATATCATGACAAATAAAGGCTTAAATATTGAAAGCTGATATTTTTATATCTATATTAAAATATTTTCTTGAGAGGTACAAAATTTTATTATAGTCATTAAAACAGACATTATTTTCCCTAAAATAAAGCAAAGTGCAAGGAGAAAAAACAAATTTATAGGTAGCTAAATGGGAAAATATTAATTTTTTTTTACATATACAAAGGAAAATTTTAAGGAAAAAAAAAGTATGACAAAATAGGAAAAATGTTCATGTGACACATTTTGTCATTTAAGACAGAAGTGATGTTTACACTGAGGAGTCATATCAACATAAATATCATTTTAATCCAATGAAGTCTTAAATGATGAAACACGTCACACAAAAGCTTTTTCCACTTTGTCATAGTTTCCCCCGCCCCACAAGATAGCAAATTGAAAAGAAAAAAAAAAATGATCTGTTCTATTCCTCACTTATCAACCAAGGACTTAAAAGGAGTGTGCATAGCAAATGAACTCTGACTGTACCCAATTCAGAACTCGGAACATAGCACACTGAGAATTATGTAACAGATATTCTGTTATTGCAGACCCGGATGCAGTAATGCCCCTATGCAAATTATTGCCTTTATTGGGGACAATACATGTTAAGTCTTTCCAGCCCACTTTCTGTAAAAGGAGCAGATTTTAGGTCTGAATATAATTTCCCTTCCCTTTATATACATATATCAGTATGAGAGATGAGATATACAACTCTGAATCTAGATAAATTGGACACTAAAAACTTAAACCCATAGTTAAACATCACTGTACATCCAGCATTTCTCAATGTAGAATTATAACTGGCAGTTGATGCATTTCGTTCCTTCCCACAAAATATAAAATTATATCAATAAAAGCATTGATAGTTTGAAGTCATTTCAAAGGCTAAAATGTGTAACATAAGAATTTTTTTCTATTTTGTCATTCAATTATTGGTATATTATTAATATATGTGTATATTTTATCTTCATTAATTTTCCGATCTTTTTTGTCCTGGGTTGAACTCTGAAGAGTAAAGAATGAAAACCAGTTTGATTTTGTGTCTTTTTTTTTCTTTTCATTTGAGTGTTTATGTTAACATTAAAAAAAACAATCTTTTCTCTTTCTAACTCTTTATTTAAAAAAAGTAAGTCTGTTTTAATGGCTGGAATAGATTGAAATAATAATGTGTTCTCATTTTGACTGTCAGTGTCACACCAGTAGGTCTTGGACTCAAAACCCTACCCCCAAATTACACAGTATAAAATCACATGCTCTGCCTAGCCAAGTGACATTAAGTTTAAAATTCCAAGTTTCTACCTCCAGGTTGTCCTAAGAGACATGGCCTAAAAGATAAAGAGTTTGTTAAGCATATTTAGTTACTGGTGGTCCCAACTTGTGTATTGCAAAAAGTCATATATTATGTTTCATTGAAGAGACAAGGAAAATGTATTTAAGAAAAATTAACTTTTACAAGTTATTATTTATGATTATATATATATATATATATATATATATATATATATAAATAATCAGAATATGCTTATAAAACGCATAAATTTCAGGAATAAGTTATTCAAAAAAAAATATTTCGCTTGAAGATGGAACAGAGCTTGGTACTTTAATTCAATTTAATTCAAATAATTATATTGGAGTTTTCGGCCTTTGTTTTGAAACATGAGAACTCTTATGTAGCGTTGGAATCATTTTTTAAATAAATAATTATATATATATATATATATATATATATATATACAATAAATAATTTGCTGTTTCTTAAATCTTAACTCCTTTATATATATCTAAAATTTAAACACAATTTAATTTAAAATACAAAAACAGCACTGCTCTTTCCAAATATTTCTGGCAATTAAAGAATGAGAGCATCTCACCATCAATCAACTAGGAAATTATATCTAGAGCTAAGGCTTATAACGTTAAAGAAATAAATGCAATTTATGTTTAATTGACAAACTGGTTATCTTAAAACACTTAAATAACCCTAGTTTATTAACCCAGAGAAATGAATTGATAGTTACATGTAGGCATAAAAATAAATATCAGCTTAAATATGTTGACCCAAATTAATTTTTTAATTTTTAATGTAAATTAGTTTATGTTTTATGTAAATTACTATTTATTTATTTTGAATATAATTTTTTTGTTTAAATAAGAACAAGTAATCTCCCTTTAATTAAAAAATTTTTTAAAAATTTATTCACTACTCAAAAATATTTTTTTATTTTTTTTTAATAGCTCTGTTATATTATGTTGAGCACTGTTTTATTAACACTAGCAATATATGTGCGATATATTATAGTTATAATGATGTGCTGATTTAGACTTCTCTGCCACAAAGTGCATCAATAATCAGGCAAAGTTAAATACTGCCTTATAAACGCAAATATTTCTTAGACTTGAAATATACATATCATCTAAATAATAGTAGTAGATGTCAGATCTAATGATGGTTTTCCCTGGAACACAGATTTAAATCCTGCCAAAGAGTGCAAATTTTTCTTTGATAAGATTTCTTGAATATACAGGCTGGTAGATGAAAATAAATAAATATACTGTTTAATAAATAAACAAAGCATCTACTCAATTATGGCTATCCACTAAAATTAATGTATATATATATATATATATATATATATATATATATATATGAATAAAAAGACAAGCAGAAAACTATTCTAGTGGATGTGCTTTGTCCTGTGAGGGACTTTATCAAGGCAAATGTAGGATTTTTTTGCCCATCTTTATAAACAAGAGCAAGGATATCATTGGTTTATTAAGCCTTTTAAATTTGAGAATATACATGAATATTCATCAGGTCATTAAAAGGTCAGTCAAAACATCTCGAAGATACAAATTGCCATAATTCAAAGTCTGCTAAGTCTTTTGTGCCTTCACAGATACACTATCTGAAAATAATTTACACACACACATATATTATATATATATATATATATATATATATATATATATGTGTGTGTGTGTGTGTATGTAAAGATAGATAGATGTGCTTGTGAGTTATACTAATGATCTCATAATGATCATGTGCCAAACACAAGAGTGCTGCAGTTGACTAAAATAACAAGCACTGAGTCCATGATCATGAAGCACCAACATAGATGGGCTGGTTACCTTGTCTACATATAGGATGCGCTTGCCTGCCAAAACGTGCTGTATAGTGAGTTGACACAAGGCAGACATACTCAATTAAAAAGGTCAACATAGGTACCACCTGGGAACATCTTGCATCAGAGCTGTGAAGAAATCTGATTGCTGTTGGCGAAGAATTTGAGAACAGAGTTGTTGAAACAAGCTGGTAGATATATGGAAAACGTCAATCCTCCTTTCGAGAAAGGCACAAAGGAGATCCTCTCTTGTGAGGAATGTGGTTATGCCTGATTCTCAGGCCTCCTGAGCCACAAATTTGGATAAAGAAACACTCCCAGCAAGACTTTTCATGCAGTATTCATAACAAAGTGGGTAGGTCTGCTAGTGGATTCACTCGGCATCATAAAAGTAAACATCCTGATAACCAGATTGCTGTCAGAAGACTCACCTGTACTCAATGCAAAATGGCTTGCAAGTTAATTGCAGATTTTATGAGCCATTTATGACGTCATCAATGACACGACAATCATCCCTAAAATGTTTATTTGGCAGTTATGAGTCTTAGAGGTTGCCTTAATTGGTTGACTTCCACTTTGTATGCTGATGAAAGGTGTTTGCACACTTTCAGCAACAATGCTTGCGTCAAATCCTTGGAATCAGCTGGCGAATGCATATCAGTGACATAGAAGCGTTTGAAAGAAGTTGAAGCAAAAATTCTGAAATATAAGTTGCATTGGAGTGGTCATGTTTCTCACATGAACTTTTGTATAGAGAACTTGCAAATGGAAAAGCTATTAGGCCATAAGTCAAAGAAGCATTATCAGCAGTGGTGGCATTCTACTGGTTTGTGCAAATTGATTCCTAAAATTATAAAAGCACAGTAAACCAGTCACTGGATTATCTAAAAATATAAATATATTGGCTATACATTAATAGCCAATATATAATAGCTAAAAATATAATTAATACCATTGTTGTAAGTTCTGCAGAGGCTGAAAGAGGGATTTCTGTGAAGAACATAATTTGTTCTGACAAAAGAAATCATCTTGAAGTTAAGAATGTGGTAAATCTTCTAGTCATAAATTTGATAAGTCTTTCATTGGATCTTTGGGACTGCATCAATTCAGTTCAAATGTGGCTATGAAATCATAACACAGCTGATGACACTGGTGTAAAAAAGAATCATACTTCTGAACAGAAATATGATGAGAACAGAAGTTCAAACTGAAAATATGTTAATAAAGGCTTTCTGTTAAATTATCAAAATGATTTAATTCTTTTTTATACTATAAAGTGATTTGTTTCCATTCTCAAATTGAAATGAAAATAAATAGAATAGGTCCCTAAAGATTACCTGCCTTTATAGAACTAGTTCCTGGATATTTAGGATGCCATTACAAGTTATAAGGATGACCTGAAAGAATTGATGAACCTTGCAAACATCAATACATATGATTGGGAGTTCCATGGGAGATCATAAAACCTGGAAGAAGGTTCATGATGGAAAGGTTTTTGAGAATTCTTGGATTGCAAAAGAAAAGCTGAAAATAAATGCCTGAAAAAGTTTTGATGTAGACCTTCTGAAACATAGAGGTGACAAGCAAGACTTGTGATGTTTGTGGCAGGATTTACCAGAGTAAATCAGGAAAATGAAATCATATGCAAAGTCGTCATGCCAGAGCAATGACCAACTACAAAATGTCACTTTTTCAAAAAAGTTTGCATTTCTGTTGGTGGACCATAAAGATATGCAATCACAAAAATTGGCCTAATGGCAACAAAATGTATCTTCCTCATGTCAACTGTTTACCATATATTTTTTTTTAAATTGTCTAGTATAAAGAGCCACATCCTTTCAAAGCAAAACTCAGTCTTACAATGATATCATGTGTTGATCATACTCAACAACAAAGGGGCAGAATTGTATATACAAAATTTCAGGTTTTATTCACATCATTCCAGAATTATTTGTTGATTATATATTGATTACCATTTGGTCAGATGTCGTGTCTTTTCAGGGTATAAGGGATCATGACTCTTCACAAATTCTTTTTCTTTTCTATTTGTGGAGAGCCATAACTTCTTGCAAAAGATAGTGTACTAGTTTTCCATTACTTTCTGCACAGTTTTGAATTCAGAGTTGTCCTGCTTCTAGACTGCCAATCAAGGCTAGAGAACTTCATCAACCCTGTTAATTTACCCATGGCTGGGAAGAGATCACCTACCAATATATATTTTAAGGCTACTTTAAGATTTGTTTAATTTTACAAGTTAAAGAATTTGGGATTACAATATTTGATCTCTCTTCCATCCTGGAGGAGACATAGTGGAGTAATGGATAGTGGCTCAGATTGAAAAATCAGAGAGACAGTTTGAATTCCAGAGGAGTTCATTTACTTACATGCTAATATCCTTGAGAAAGATATGAATTCATCTCTTCTCCACACCCAACTATGGGTAGATAACAGAGCAGACTGGGTTCTATAGCCTTGGGAGGCAACTAGGAGGAGGACAACTTTGAATTCAAAACCTCCAACTATCAAGCCGCAATTAGCCAAGCATGGTGAGTATGGCTACACCCCTGAAGATATGGTCAATCAGGAAGGGGTTCCTCCAACCAGAGTGGGAAGGATCTGGATCAAGATCTGGTGAGTTTTCATCACTGGTATCTTTATTCTGTCTTGTTTTAAGAACAGACATTTTTTGAATAAATGGCACCCTTAGATGGTTGAGTGTCTAAAATGCTGAAGAAAACTATCTAAATATGTGAAAGAAGTTGAAGTATTTATTTTGGCATATTTTAAATAAACATTAGGTGTGTAATATAACCTCTCTGGGCCAGCACATACTACACCCAAAAACCTCAACTTGGGGGGCTCCGTGCAGTGTTCTGTGACCCTCACTATCTTATCAACATTTGCTTTTTTTTCTACCTACATTTATATATGTTACAAATTAAACTAAACACAACTGACTATGAAAGGATGAGAAATTTTCACGAATTTTGACGTCATTTTAAGGTCTTTTTGCCCAAATCCTTGAATTTGTTTTGCTCATGCTAAGTCTCAAAAAAAGACGATATAAAATTCACTATTTTTATTCATAATTTTGAATGTATTAAAATTATTCAACTTTTTAAGAAAAATCTCAAGCTGATATTAAAAATTGCCACAAAACAATATTGATTTATTTCAAATGGAATGATATACTATGACATGTCTCTAATTTGTATTTAGATACATTGTATTTATTTTCAATTTTTCTGGTTGAATTATTTACTTATATTACATTTGATTCATTATTGTACATAATTAGGTTACAATAAAATTTGCATTTTATATGAATTCTACCTTATGAAAATTGAGAATAGAGTGTGTATGGGGAGTTATCATAAATTAGAGGTGGGGGGGACCACTTGCACTGGCCCTGTAATCAATACTAAAACTAACAAACTCATTTTCTCTATAAAATATCATCTGCCATAAATCTTTACAGAAACAATATACAGCATGTATATTGTTTCTATAAAGATTTAAGAAAACATGAAAAAATTTGCATGGAAGCAATGATTAAGTTGAAATAAAAATAGTGAAAGCAATTTTATCTAAAGCCACACCAGGTCACTTGCTCCTCTAAAAATGGAGTATTAATACGCTAATCAGCTTTATAAATTTATTAAATCTGTCTTTCAAATAAAAATAAAAGGAGTTGGATTTCTCGTCTAATCTTAATGAAGGATATTTAAAAGAGGTTCAAGGGGGATAAATCATGCAGAATCAATCCCAATTTCAGTTCTATTCTGCACACTTGAAAAACTAACTGTTCTATTGAATATGCACTTTAAGGCAGATTAAGTAATGGACGAATCCTTTTATAACTAATACAGCCGGCCCTTTGCATCCACAGACTCAACCAACCGTGGATCAAAAAATATTTGGGAAAAAGAATTCCAGAAATGTTAAAAATAACAAAACTTGAATTTGCTGTGCGTCGAGCATTCTGCTGCAACCACGCAAATTAAGAGATGTGTAGGCATACCCTGCTGTAGCCTCCTGCCATTTCACAGGTCCTCAGTTTTTCTCCCGTACTTGTTTGAGCATCGTTCACCTCACATCTCGTTTGTTCGCTACTTGTGTTGTTTGTACTTTTTGTTTTTTTCTCCGTATTTTGGAATGGAATCTTTTTAAAAAAAAAAAAATAAGAAAAAAAAAAAAGGAAATTTCATCTTTTATTAAATATGAGTACCGTATATACTCGAGTCTAGTGTGAGTTATTATGATCAGTTTTTTTTTTACGCAAGAAATAGGGGATTGCACTATACACAGGTTAAAAATCATGCATATTCGGTGACTGGTTGCACTATAAGCAGGTAAATTTTTTTCTGGAGGGGGTCCAAATTTATGCCAAAAAAGTCAGGGCTCTCACTATACATAAAGTCTGTTTATACTTGAGTATATACGGTACTTAAAATTTTATTAAAATTAGTATTAGTTATTTTATTCATAGATTGTTAAAAATTGAAGTTTTTCAATTAAAAATTTTCTAATTTATGATAATTTTTATTTTTGTTTACATATAAACAACATTTCACATTATTGCTTTTGTCATGTATCTCTAGTTCTATAGAATTTACACAATTTTTATATTGAAATTTTTTTCTAATTTACTTTCTTACTAACGGCACAAAGATTTTAATGATAAAATTTACTTTTATAAAAGTTTTTTTTTTATTATTTTATTTTACCCCACACCATCATGTGTCAATTTTCTACCAAAATCTTTACCTAAAGTGCAACCATTTATACAATATTAATACTGAATTTTGGGAATAAGGAGTTATCATTACTTGCATTATTGCCCTCATCTTTGTTGTTATGTCAAAAGGTGATGAAGGCCAGAGGGCACAATGGCCAAAACGTGATAACAACAAAGATTAGGATAATAGTCTGAATGTAAATAATGCATTTGGTATTATAAGTAATCTAAAGATGGTTTGAAGTATACAAGAGCATGTGTATATATTATATGCAAACACTAAACTATTCTATAGAATTAGAGGTATGTATATATATATATATATATATATATTGCTGATATCTCCTGATAAATGGACAGTGTGATTGCTGGATAGACCATCTATAAAACTCTAGAGTTGGGATACTAAAGGTAACATCTCTCACACGCACGTATGTGTATATTTAGGCAGCATATCTTCATTCAAGTATATTTCATTGAATAATATAAACATATTATACTTATAATAATCCTTTCTAGTTCTCTAATCAGTTTCTTGATGTTAAGATGAAATTCAATAAGGAAGGCATTGTAGTTTTATCTTACTCAAGTACTTTCAGTCTCCTCCAAAGTGAATTACAAAAGGTAAACTTATTGTAATTGCGATGGTGATGTCTAAAAACACCCATGAACATGCTGTTATAATTATTTCAAAATTTTTAATTTATCCATTGTAACTATAATGATCTTGAAGGAGACTGTAAGTACTTGGGTAAGAAAAAATTACAGTGACTTCTTTGATAAATTCATCTTAACATCAAGAAACTGATTAGAGAATTAGAAAGGATTATTATAAAATAAATAGACATAATGTCTATATTATTCAATAGAATATGTTTGGATATATATATATATATATATATATATATATATATATATATATATATATGCAAATGCTACACCATTCTATATGATTCATAAACTTTAGCATCTATGAATTTTGGTATCTACAGGGTTTTCTGGAACCAGTCTCCCAAGGATACCAAGAGACGACTGTATATATATATATATATATATATATATATATATACACATAATACGAAACAGGACTGGTAAAATGCTAAGTGCTAGCCAAATACGTAGAGAACTTAAAGCATGGAATTATTTATTTAATGTAGAGATTAATAGAAAATAAAGTTCTTTATTTTTCAGCTGGTGTGATTTCTTTCATTCTTTAAAAATGATATATATATTTTTTTTAATTTCAGTTATTATTTGTCCTAAGTACTTTTTTCTTTATCATTATTTTTCTTATTGTGTATTTTTTTTTTTTTTACCTTTGTTTCTTCACCAGATAAACTCCACACTTTCACTGCACCAGAATTGGAAACTGCTACAACAACATCATCTGAAATTGAAAAATATACATTACAAGTTTCTTTTAAATATTATAAACACTAACTTTTAAATTTGAACTTATTACACAGAAAGATCAACTGTAAAAACATAAATAAATTCATTGAATAAATTGCTTTGGTCTTCTGCTAAGAAATTTGGTTCACAGTGTCATGTTAGACATTTTTTTTTTCAAAAAATCTATATTTATAAATCTACTATTTGTACATATTGCTGCCATATCTGGTCTGATGCTTCTGCTATATATTTAGAGATTCTTGATAAAATCCAAAGAAAAATCCACAATATTATTGATCCTGACTTGACATCTTGACTTCAGTCAATTTCCCAACACTATAATGTAGCTTCCCTGTGTCTTTTCTATATTTTCATGGTAATTATTCTGAACTTTCTGCTATGATAATTTAAATTGTATTCATTGTAAATATTCATTGAGGTTTCAATTTAAATGTTGTTATTTTTATTCACTCGCCTCCATACAGACAAATTGTACATATGGGAACGAGTTAGGACTACATAGAGACTATGAGGTATTATGGTGGCTGTAGTAAGAATGGTAAATAAAAATGTGTTGTTTTGGTGTAAGGAATACTGTGATGTATTTGGTTCAGTAATCACAGCTAGCTAGGTTTAAGTAACAGATTGAAGACCAGCCTTCCTCTATCACCCCACCCTTTGGCCATGCACCACATTTTTGTATTATTCAAAATAAATATTACTTTCCGCTATGGTACCAAGACTTTATGAAATTAAGTGCAGTACTAGATTGGCAACACGGCCTCATTAATTTACAATTGAACTGGGTAGATGTAACCATAAGTTTGATACTAACAGTTTCTTTTCTCAAATTTCTTGCATATGGAATTCACTTCCAGTTCCATGCTTTACAGCCAACTTTGGTCTTCAAAAATTTAAATGCAATACCAATCATTATCTACTGTCTTCTTGATTCCTCTTATTGTTCTTGCCCCTTAATAATGTTTCTCTTTTTTTCTTATTCTTTCACACTCAGTAACACCTTGTGTCTTAGTGGCTTTACTGCCTTGTTTGGGGTGAAAAAAATGAAAAATAAGAACAGTACAAACCTTCTCCTTTGACTGGTTTGAGAATACAGCAGGCACTTATCCAATCTGGAGTTACTTTGGAATGTAAAGAGAACAATATTTCAAATCCAAATGGATCCATGATATGGATTTCTGGATAATATCCGTTGCAGACAAGGTGAATATCATTTGAGTTGTTGAATCGGTAGGGCTGGAAAAAAAAAAAGATTCAAATATAAAAATATTTAAAATATTTCTTTATTTGTTCCTATTTTTCTTTTTATGTAATGCATTTTAGAATCTCCCCAGCAAAACAGACTGTTGAACAAAAAGTCTGAACGGCTTTCTAAACACAGACATGTGACTATTTATGGACTCTCCTATGTACATTTATATAAAAGAACCCACCCAGGAGGAATACAATGCACTTGAAGCTTATCTAGCATGAAACTAATAATTGCACTTTTAATCAACTCTTTTATGACATTTTATATATGTGTATTATTCTGTAACACTAGTTCACAAGGTTCAAAGAAGGATGTTCACTAAGACCTACAGACCTTGTTTGTTAGAAGCCTTTTTTAATTATTAGTTTGAGAAATCAGTTGCATACAACTGACAGTTTTGCTAAGTGCTTCACCATAAGCAAATAAATCTCTCGTTTTTTTTATGGGTCATATTCTAGTTTTCAGATAAAAAAAAAAAACAAAAATAAAAACAACAGATCTCAAGTTAAAAATCCATTACTTTCATTCAAACTGAAGGTATACTTTTCAGAAACTCCTCAGCCCTTTGAGATGGGGATCAGCCTTGGTCTTATTCTCAGGCAAAACAAGATATAAAACTAATGTAAATATGCCTGAGCTTTGGAGCTTCTGAATTAAAAGAGTAAGGTCATCTATAAACTTGGTGCCTTTGCAAAATCAGCCAAAAGAATGCACAGACATGCTCCAAACCAAAACCAAACCTTGTGTCATATTTACCCTCATAGGGAGGCAAATTGATACTAGCATCAAATAGTTAACATTGGAGTTAGGTTTCAAATGCTAAATATTTTCATTGACAAGAGATTGATGCTACACAATCTGCCAAAGAAATAAATAATTCCAAATCAAGTAAACATAGAGTGTCCTGTTAAATTTCTAATACTTCCAAAAAGTACTTAAACTTGGCATTCCTTAAAAATGAAAAAAATGATGTTTCACCAAAATAACTTAAACAATGAGTACATCCTTTTTGCATGTGTCTTCTCACTGGATTTATCCGACCTACATCCTCCCAGGATTCATTATTGGTGGCCACAATCTTAACATAAGAATAGCAGATACAGAAAAGAAACTATAAGAACTCTTACAGAAAATAAAAAGAATTAAACATCAATTACAAGAAGACAGAATGTATGATTGTTAGCAAAATGAACAGCCCAACATGCAAATTACAAATTGGAGATATTAAAATAAAACAAGTACAAAAATTTAGATATTTGGGAAGCATTTTAACAGAGGACAAAAAGTATGACACTGAAATCTGAAGTCACATTGGAATAGCCAAAGATGCCTTCCAAAGCTAAACAAAATATTAAGAAAAAAGAGAAATTTTATTAGAAACAAAGAAAAGAGTACTAAACTGGTATATAATATCAGTCCTCCTATATGGCAGCTGGACAATCTCTTCACAGATGAAGAAGAGATTTGAAACAACAGAAATGTGGTTCTACAAAAGGATGATGCTGAGAAACCATGGACTGAACAAGTGAGCAACAATAAAGTTTAAGAGAAAATGGAAACAAAACAAACACTTATACTTAACATCAGAAAGAGAGAGGGTGAAATTTCTAGGGCACATAATGAGGAAAGAGAGCTTAGAAAAATTGATACTCGCAGGACATATTGAAAACAAGAGGAAAGCAGTGCATAACCTAAAGAAATTTTGTAAACGGTTGGCAGAACAGAGTTTAGGAGAGACAGCAATTTACTAAATGCTACAAAGAACAGGAAATTGTGGAGAGTCATGGTGACTAATGTCCTGATGGGACATAGAAGTGGTCAAAATTATTACGATAATGTTGTGTTTCTTTCATGAAAGAAGGTCATGAAAATAACCTAGTTATGGTTCAATATTGACACTTGGGGATTTTCTTACGATCAATGTAATGGAAGTAAAAGACAAATGGATTACCTGGATTCGAGTGTGAACAATAGGCAACCGGCTACTCTCGAGGCACCGTCCATCACTGATGTCCCAAAGACACATTTCCCTTAAGATGAAAAAAATCAAAATGACATTTTCCTAAAGCAAAATAACAGAGTTTAAGCATTTAAAAGTTGTGTAGATTATAAAAATAAAGAAATAGGAACAAGTTCCACTACAATACCATTAATTTGAAATATATTCCAAATTGATGAAACTGCAGAGGAACTCATTCCAATCTTCTCTTCTCTGTCTTCATGTCAACCAAATTTTCATCTGGCTGATTATAAATCCCCAAACACAAGCAAAGTACAGTCTTTTGTTTTTATTATTATTTACAAAGCCATGTTTGTGAAACATCTAACTAGAATTGAGCTAGTAAATGTTCAAACTCTCCTATAGAGAGATATGATCAACATCAAAATAAAAATGTTGGCAGCAACACACATACACAAACACATATATAACATCAAAAATACTGACTTTCTTGCAACCACAGTTTCTGCCAAGATGGCTTCATCAGACAACAAGTAAATGTTTCATCTCAGAGAAAAACCTATCCATATCTCTTGTTCTTTCCACCTCTTTTCTTCATCCACCTCCTCATCCTTCCACTGCTGGTACAAGTATAATTTGGAGTAGGTTTTTTGAGATGAAACAATGACTTGATGCCTGACAAAGACATCTTAACAGAAACTGTGGTTGCAAAAAGGTTACTGTTTCTGATATTTTATACATTAATTTGCTCTGCATTTTCATTCTGTGAAAATTGTATTTAGCACTCTTAATTTAGCCATTCTTTTGGTGAATATCATTTTTGCCAAAAAATTAAATTTACAATTATATATAAATGTGTGTGTGTGTGTGTGTGTATTTAGGCAGCAAATGCTCCTTAAGGCAATTGTTATTAAAGATAACAAACATTTTGTATCAATTAATTAATGACACTGAGGCTGTGAGGTGGTTAAACATTAATTCTAAACAGGAAAAAGGGTTAAGCTCCAAATGAAATATAGGCTGGAAGACAGAGAGAGAGAGAGAGAGAGCGAGGAGACATTTTCTTTGGTGAGAATGGGATCGTCTCGATTTCTCCTCTCCTAAAGTTTTTTTTTTTTTTATCTATCGAGAGTCTGGTACAGATTTGGGGAACAATTTTATCTCTAACTTGGGAAATGAGAAAAACACATGTCACTAGCAAAAAGAAAAGCAGATGAGAATTATATTTTTATTAGCAAAAACAAATTGAAAAATGAAAACACAGAATTAACCCACTGCAAAGGTTAAGATTATGAAATTCAATCCGTCATAACAGGCATGTGATCTGGCCTGTGTTTTTGCTGAGACAGCAACCAGCCCAGAGAGTCTCTTTGTTGAGAATTTAGGTAAACAAATATATTTTCATTGAGCAAAACAAAATGGGAAATAGGTTTATCAATCTATATATTCTAATCTATGGGGAACTGTCATTTAATCTGACATTCCTAACCACTCAACCATGTAGGACAAACAGTCAAAGCCCAAATAGTGCCTTTTGAATACACACACTCAGCCAATTCTCACAATATCCATATCTGCTCTGTTTCATATCCTAACAAAGACAATTTATATTAGGGAATGCATTAAATCCAACATAATTTTTATTTTTAATTGATTTTGTTTAAATATTATTTTTGATGGATACTCATATTCAAGTAGAAGCTCTGTTTTTTTTAAACAGTATTTTTTATCCAACTAGATCTACTGGCCTGAATATTTAAGAAATCTTGTCAGAAAAATTTGTTTGACCATAAGTCTGATGTGGTCAAACAGGCATGTCAGATCCAAAGACAGTTCCCCATATGGGATGCAGGTTCCAATCCTGCAGGGGAACACGTATTTTTACATAAGGAAGTTCTCATGGATGTATTTGAAGAAAATGTCTGTTGTGATCTTGAGTTCTTTATAAGTGCTTTTGAGAATTTCTTCTGTTTCTCAGGGAGTTTTTTGCATAGATGGATGGATAGAATATATATATATATATATATATATATATATATATAAATTGTGTATTTAGGCAGCAATCTCTCCTTTATTCAAGTTTCATTAAAAACAACTGAAAAGGTACTGCAATTAAGCTTCTTATTTAATTTATCTTGTGTTCATATAAGTGTTTTCTTTTCTGAATATAAAGTGTGTAAAAACTGTCCAAAAGTTCTGCATATCTGAGTGCTTTCAGCTGTTCTTTTAGCCATTATCAAGGATGATTTTTATTTTTTATTTTTAACTGAATGTATGAATTTTTTTTTTTATGTATGTATCTAGAGTTATAGGAGTGTTTTATTTTCCAAACAGTCACTACATTGCGGCTGTGTTCATAATTGATGTTACTAAGTGTTTAAATGAACACGGCCACAGTGTTGGTAATTTTACTATAAAAATGTATTTTTTATATTTTTTTAGTGTTGCATTGATTGTCATGTTGCTATAAAAAATGGATAGTTGGTCATGTACTGTTGACGTTTGTTTGGGGGTTTACTAATTGCCCATAGCTGGGACCTTAACAGGTGCTACCACCCCAGATCAAGGTGAACCTGGGAACAACAGCAATTAAGAGGTGATTCCATACTCCTCAAGACCTCCAATCTCTTGAGCGGAGGCCTTGCTGCCTGTTGTAGCTTATCATCATACCTGGGATGAGTTTGATGAAGTGACATGTAAGTAAGTTGATAAATGATTTTAAACAGTTTTCTTAATTAGTATGCATCATTACTGATGCAAACACACAACACAATCCTCACCCAAGTTTTCCAACAACCAACCAATGATCAACTCCCATGTTGCCTTTCAATCCTCTCATTGGTGTTCACCAAAAACTGGGAAAGAGCACACTGCACTGTGTGCCCACACATTGAAAGAAAAGAAAAAAAAGCTACATCAAGAAATAAGAACACAAACCATGTTTACCCTGTTATATATAGCTATTTTATTCAGAGCTTTGCCTGCTCATCTGGGTGGGTAGGTAGGTGATACTGGAGAAAATTTCTACTATGTCAACTCTTCCCCCTTCCATGTCCTAGCCCATCTACTCATCCCAACATGGTGGCTGGCAATATGAAAAATGGAGGCCTTGGAACTGTCTGCTACCAAAGGTAGATCAGAACTCTGCTCAATCCCAAGCATGACTGTTAATATAGACCAGTACCCAAATATAAGATATTTCTGGTTTTGTTGCCACTTGATCTAAAACAAAAAAAAACAACAACAAAAAAAAAACCTTCATCCACCCCTTTACCACATGTTCCTCTTCAGTCAAAGTGCATGTCATTTAGAAGACCAAACTTCAAAAGGAACCGTCCATTTGTCTATCAAACAGAAGAACTTGAGATCAAAATAAAACTACTTCTTCCCCATCTATGTGGGTGTCCATAGTATCACTGATAACTGGTTTTCTTTCATTCTAATTACATTTCTATATTTTAATGCAAGACAAGATTCTATATTAAAAGCAAAAATAAAATCCTTAGAGTGCAAATGTATCAACTTACCCATTTTCAGAACTGCTGACAACATAGGGATAGCCCTGTTGTTCACTGCCCAGTGACAGACAACATATTGATGCAGTGTGTCCAAAAAGCATGTGCCGAGGGTAGATCTACAAAAGAAAATAATAAATGAAAATACAAATATATTGAATCTGGTGAAGAATTACAATAGACTTTATTCTAAATTTCTTTAGAGAATTCATTCTAAATTTGTTTTCAGAACATAAATGAAACCTGAGGTTGGAGTAAATGGACAGGTTGGAAAATAAAGAGTGGATAGTCTTCTTCATGTTGCCATGTCTCTTCAGAACATTGGTGATCATGTCTCTCCACAACTTCCTATCCTTTGTAGTAATCTTAGTAATGATTTTTGCTATCTCTCCTAATCCCTGTTCTACCAACTGTTTACACAAGCTTTTTAAGGTTAGGCACTGCTTTCCTCTGTCCCTCTTTATCTTCAATATGTCTTGTGAGTATCAAATTTTCTAAGCCCTCTTTCCCTATTATCTACCCTAGAAAGATCAACTATCTTTTTCTAAGTACAAGTGTCCTTTTTGTTTCCATTTTCCCTAAAACTTTGTCATTGCTCACAGTGGGGATAAGTTGGGGATGGGGGGAAAAAAAAGGGGAGTGGAATAAATGGATAGGTTGGCAAAAAGTGGAAAATAAACAGGGAGGTTGGAATAATAGTGGGTATGTTGAACAAAAAAATAAAATAATAAAATAAATTTAAATAGCTAGCCAGGCCCATCTATTTCAGGTATGAGAACAGTGTTTTGTTTTGCCTTTCAACATTAAGTTTGAGTACTGCCTGTAACTTTGGGCAGAGTCATTGATATAATTTGGGTATCACCTGTTATAGAAAAGAAACAAGCCAAAAGGAGCAAGAGTCTCCAAATAGAATATGCCTGGGGGGTTGAAAGTTAATCTTTTCCCTAGTGCACTCCCCAAGGACCTGAGTGATGCTTATCACCAAATGCGTTATGTCTCCTTGATGAATTGGCACAGGTGGCACTGCTGATGCATTTGAATAGCAGTGATCATGTTGATTAATTTGCATGCCTCAAATACTTGTAGCAAACAGCAAATGCAAGTTGTCATTTGGGTCTTGCTGACAACGTGCATGTAGAAGAGAAGAGACATCACAACTCAAGTATACAAATCTTTATCAGTTTGAAAAAGCTTGCCAGTATGGACAAATGTAACACCATTTTGAGTACTGACTGTATCTGAAGAGATGTATGACAAATTGGAAAAAGTTTTTATGACACATTTCATCCATTAGGATTTCATTGGACTGGGTTTGTTTACATTGTAGTGACTACACATGCACACAAATGAGTCACAACAACATAAACAACCCCAGTCTAATGAAGTCCTAATGGATGAAATGCATCACAAAAAAACTTTTTTCAATTTGTCATACATCTCTTCTTTCAAAACTGATCTTTATTTATAGAAATATTATATATATATATATATATATATATATATATATATATATATATATATATATATATATATATATGATGAATAAATTGTCGTCCAAGTTATGCAAAAATGAAAATAATATTGACATTTCATTTTAACAGATATATTTACCAAAATTACGAAAAGATATTTTGAAATCTACAACTTTTCTGGAGGACGGTCTCCTTGTTTAAGTTGGTGAATGCTGCAATAATCCTTGCTGTCAGTTCATTTTTGGTGTTACAAAGAGTTTTGTTGGTCTCACTCGACTGTGACCCATATATAATAATCAAGGGATTTGCAGTCTGGGGAATTAGGTGGCCAGATATGTTCACAGAAATTGTCTGACAGCCATGACTTGATTCTCCTGCTTGTGTGGCATGGTGCAGAGTCCCCTTGCCAGACATGGGATCTTCCAGAAACCATCCTCTTGACCCAGGGCAGTACTACCTCCTCAAGACACTTGATGTAGGCCTCTATGTTGAATCTGAGGCCCTGTGGAAAGATGAATGGAGGCATAATGTTGCCGTCACAAGTGATCACTCTAAACACCATGATGTTGACTGGATATATCATCCAACTTTCTGAATCCTTTGCAGTGTCCTTAGATTGGCACCCAAACACTCTGAAATGTTCATATTGGTGCTCCTGACATGAATGCCAAGCAGTACAGCATGCCATTTCCAAATTTCTGGCAAAGTGAATTGCATCAAGATGCTCTTTTTCTCATAGATGGTGCCAAACTGACCCTACTATAATGTGCAGTCAATAAAATTGAAAGCAAACAATGCGCATGCACGAAATTAAAAATATAAAATGGTGACAATTTACCCATAGCACCTGGTAAGGATGAGTTTAGACTGCAGCACCACAGCAAAATGCCAAGTTGCCCTTAAAAAAACAAGCCAGGTCCACAGAAATTTTTGCTTTCAACTTCAAAAAAAAATTAAAATATTTTTTCTTTTTTTTAAATTAAGAACAAAAAATGTTACGTTTTTTTTAATAAGGTGGCCGTGGGAATTTTCCAAGAAAAAATTTGACTAGAGCCCTAAGCAGATATATTTTCAAAGAAATGAGGTAGATGAAACTGAAAGGAAGGTCAACAAATGTTTACAAGTTTATTTCAATCTTACAACATTTATGTCTACTCAAAAAAATATAAACATCATATGTATACACATTATGTAATAATACATTTCATTTTAAAACTTAAATAGACTGGTCCCCTCAAAAAGGAAAGCAAACTATATATATGTCAAAAAGTCAGGGTTCAGTTTGATGTTGTATTTATATCGTAAACAGTCCCCCATGTAAAATAATAGAAAATTAATGTTTTTCAATTCTGACAAATTGCCTGAGTAGAGGAAGTTCTTCTGAATGCTAAGCAGCAAAAATTAGTCATGAAAATATTTTTATCTATAAGAAATTACTAATTAATATTTATCTTGGAAAGTAAAGGATTGGTTTGTCATTTTTTTTTTTTGTTTCAATAGTTATTTTGATTTTACATTGAAAAAGTTTTATATTTTTATACAGTTGATACAACAATCTCATTCTTTCTACAGCATATTCTAAGGTAATAATGTTGTAAGGTTTGTTTTTTTTTTTTTTTTTGAAAATATTCTGCTGCAATTTATCATTGCTAATAATTCTAGTCATTGTCAGGTTACCTCCTAATTTTCAAAACCACTACTAGTAGATGCTCTCCAGACTATAAATACTTGGCGATATTTTTTATCATTCTCTTTTCACCCTATCCGCTTATTTGTCAGCATGTAAAACCTCTCATGGAGAATGTGTTCCCTTTGGGAAATGCATGAACAATACATATATAGACACATTTACATACGCACATTCACTCACTACATATAATTTCGACCATTAGGTTTTTATATTCATTTGACTCACGTTACTTGTAACCCTTTATTGTTAATACATTATCATTTGTTTGTACATATATATTGGTTCTTGTCATTTCTTTACATTTCTTTATGTGGACTCACATCCCGAGTTTGTCATGTTTGTTGCGGGTATTCCAGGAGACAGAATGCCATTCCCAATTTCAAATACTAAGGTTACTAATGCCCATAATAAGTTGGGAAGTGTGTACAACTGCCCGCAACATCATCATAATCAATGTTTGTCAATAAAAAATATTTGATTTTAGAGCTTTTTGTTTATTTTTATCAATTTTTTTTAATGATTTTACATTAATATTACATTTTACAAATAAAAAACAAATTTTACAAATTGTAAAAAAATTGCAGCAGTACCCTTAGTCATTGCCATGCTCTCATTTTTAAGGGGGTCCATCAAGGCAATTTTTGCCTGCCCCTATATTAGGCTAAATTCATATATATATATATATATATATATATATATATATGAATGATCATATTCAATGACCAGTTTGTTTTTTTCCTCACAGATTACACCTGACTGATGAATTGATTGACCATAATCAGGTGTTAACAACACTAAGTATACAAAGAAGTGATTCAAGTTTACAAACAATGTTGGATAACTATGTGTGAGGTTTACCCAGTTCATGAGAAGATCATGGGTCCAGTATGCTGATCAAGAGCAGACGATCTCAAAAACTCACAAGCATGTACACTGGATGTGATGTGTATGGGAGAGGAAGCCCATACCAACAAAGAACAAGATTCAACATTACAAAATAATACAGCAATTAAAATGTGATAAAAATTAGAAAAAAAAAAAAGCAAAGAAACAACAAAGTAAAGGAAATTTATGCTAAAACAATAAAAAAAATAACTATGACCTCATATATTCCTGCAGACCAATGTTTTTTGAAAGTTTTTTTTTTTATCTCACAGCACATTTGAACCTATAGTTAAACTTCCACAGCACACTTAAATTATGATGAGTAAAAAGAGAGTATATTCTTTATGATTTATTTATTAACACAAACAAAACAATTCATTATAATTTGTAACAAAAAGCTAATCAATAAAATTCTTTAAAAAAAAATTATATTTATTTTTCTGTTTATTATAATTTAACCTTTAATGAGATATCTAAGTTTGATGTTTTTATAGACTATCTTTGCAAAGTTGAATTTTTGACAGGCATACTCTTAAATCTTCTTCCACAGATTCTAGTCATGATTAATTTTTGTTTTTAATATCATTTATTACAGAAAAGCTTGTGTCGCATAAATATGATACTGAGAATGGAAGAAGTATTTTTATTGTTTTTTTTTTTGTAATATTTGGAAATTCACTCTTAAGGGCGAATCAAAATGATGTAATATCTGTTGTTGAATATTTTAATTGCAATAATTTTGATATGTACACTTATTGTGCTTTGAACCTCTTTGAAAATAATTAATGACCTTTAAAAAATTTTGTAGCTCACCTATGGTCTTCTCACAGTTGAAATATCACTGCTACAGAATAATTCAACATGCAAATTATTATCAGTTGAAGAAGGAAAAAATAACATGAGTCAAAAGAACAATAAATAATCTTATAAAAGCAGGTCTATGGCCACTTTCCTCGTATTCAGGAGAGAATAACAAGATCTGAGAGACATTCCTGTAGAAGAAAGGATGAGCTTATTACTGGAATTCTGTTGTGGACGCACTAACATTGGTCACTCATTAAAAACATAACCA